GTTATCTTTCTTAGTAATTTGAACACACTTTTCTCAATCTGACCTCCTTAATTTTTTGATTGTTTTTCTGAACAAATTAAACATTTTGAAAGCGAAACAACTGAAACTAACGAATCGAAAATCTGGTTTACCTATAACGACAGTATCATCAGCCACAGTCTCATCCAGAGCTTCCCCATCCACCTCAGTCTGGTCCAACTCCGTCTTCTCCTTCTCGACCTTCTCTACCACTGGCATCCCAACCGCCAACTCTTTCTCCTCCCGCAACTCCTCTGACACTTTCGACACAAACTCCAGCCACTCTATTCGCCCGTCTGACTCATCCGCCTCCTCGCTGTCCTCACTTGGAGATGCTGCCAGGTTCTTGGAGGCTTTGGCTGACTCAGTGACGTCGAGGTCCTGCACGATCTCAAAGGAACCGGGGAAGAACTTGACAGGGAGACAGACAACTGAACCTTCTTCAAACCTGCAAACGAAAAAAGTCATAATTTTTTTCTTGATTTTTAAATCTTAGGGTCACTTCTTTAGTTTGCCTGAATCTTTTAATCACGCCGATTTTTTCCTGATTATCACTTTGGAGGTTCAACTATCTCGCTGCAAAAAATTTGGTCAAGTTTTTGCTGATTGATTCAAAAACGTTTGAGATTTTGAAGAGTTAAGAGATTGTCATTTTTCGAGTTCAGACAAGGATTATAAAATTATGATGCATGAAAAAGTGAACATTTCTAATGGCATTCTTGCTTTTAGGGTATTCTCAATCAGGAAATGTTGACAGAGTGCATATAAATTTTACCCGTAGAGTGGTTCTTTGAGGTATGTGGCCAGATTGTGTCTGAAGGTAGGCTCGGATCCTAGGAACCAAGCAGCCAGAGTCTCCTGCACGGCAGCGGCCATCTTCATCCAGGGCATGTGTTTCAGCACACTCTTCAACTCCTCATTTCTAGTCTCCATTTTAGACAGAAACTCACCCTCCAGCCATCTGCAAATTGCAACGCACGCTCTTGTACATATATTTTCAAAAGCGATATATAAGAATTTGAACGAACTCTGTGCCTATAAAGCTCCTCCTCTTTATAGGCACAGCTTTTATTCAAGTTCTTATATATCGATTTTGAAAAAAAGAAACAAAAAGAGAAAACTTAAAAAAGAGAAAGATGCCAGAAGTATTTGGTTTTTATTCAAATACTAGTTACTGATAAAGAAAAACATTCTTTTGGTAATTTTATATTGTATTCAAAAAAGAGCTAATTTTTCAAGTAAAGAAACTGTTATCAATTAGGAATTAAAGCTTTGATAATTATCTGAGATCTTCCCATGCTCTCCCATGTTCAGAAAAAACTATTGAAAAATTACACCAACACTTTCTCAATTTAAAAAGAGAAAAAACATCTTCGGAAGAGTAATGTTGACTACTTGTGATCGTAGATGAGCTCGGAGGTGGGTCTGCAGAACCAGGAGGGTCCAGTGATGGAGGTCTGTCTCAGTCTGGACACCCTCGACCACTTGGTGTCCACTTTGTAACTCCCACTCAAGTTTCCCCACAGGAACACATCGTGAACTGTAGATCCGTTCACGCCCATCTTTCCACCTAAACCCAGAACAGCTCACAATTTTCTCCATAAAATCCAGATTTGAGGGTCGAGCATATACGTCAAAAAAACGCATTTTACGCATAAAAAGTTCAAAAAAGCTCAAAATGACTTTTTCCAGAAGCACAAGAGGCTTCCGTTCAGACCAAAATTGATAGCTAGAGTCATTGCAGAGCGCAGCAGAGCTGCAACAATCAAAAATGGCTAATTTTGAAGCTTCCAAGAAAACTGAAGCAACTTCCACAAAAATTTCCCCATTATAAAGGCTACTAGATTACTGCTGAACATTTTTTGATACAGGAATAGTTTTTTCAACCAGAACATTCTGATATGTTATAATTTAGTGTGGATTAGATGATCTGAAATTGATTTTCTATGTCAGATGTGATAATCTTTTATTTGTTCTTTGCTTACCTAGAAGTGCCTTAGCAGTCTTCTCCTTGAAGTTAGCCATGCCCACTATGTTCTGGGAGAGGAGGGAGGGGCAACAGTTGTCAATCAGGACAGAAGTGGCGTAATTGAGGGGCACCCCCTGTCCACACACCAACACCTTGCAAGTCCTTTTTGCATGTTGTTTAATCTCTTGTCCCAAAGTCTCGAAGTGGGATTTGACGTGGGCTAAAGCATTTTTTAAACATATCACATATCAAGGTTGCACCCTATTGCGACATCTCCCAACAAAGATCAACGCAGCAAAAAAGCAACGGTAATGTCCGATGTGCCAAATGGTCACTCCTTTTTTGATTTGGTTTAATAATCAAATGTTTCACCGAACTGCTGCTATGCCCAGCAAAACAGAAGGTTGAGAAAAAATTTGCATTTTTTTTTTAAATTTAATGACAGGTTGCATTTTCTGTTTGAGTTTGGTCTTCGGAGCTCTCCCAAATCACTTTGAAGACCCCATTTTGACAAAATTTTGTGCGCCGCAGGCAAATCTTTGAAAAAATGCCAAAAAGGCGTTTTTAGGCAATTTTTGGAAAATTTTGACAAAAAGCGTTTTTTCGGCTAACGCTCCCTCCTCAAAATTAAAATATTTTGGCGCCAAAGACGCCTTTAGAAAAACTTTAGGGTCAGTCAGCCAAAAAAGGAAATCTCAATATATCAAAATAATACAAAGGGGGACCCTTTGGGTCGGCATGGGGTCGAATCCCTGAGGTGGGAACGTCCGCCCCCTCCCTAGATCCGCCAATGGTGCCGACAACTTTTTTCTGTACGCTCTAAAGTCTTTGGGAAATCTAGGAGCTTATCAGTTATGGTATCATTTTAAAACACTATTAGTTCCAATTCCAATTCCGTAAACAGAAGTCAGTGTCGAAAAACGTTGGTTTGAAATCTTCCATTTTTCAGACTAGTTTACACAAATGAATGAAACCCGGGTTGCCAAAGTCAAAACAACTATTCATACCATTTTTACTTATGGAATAAATTTTTATAAATGTTTTATAAAAATTTATTCCATAAATGAAAATTGTATGAACAGTTGTTTTGACTTTAACAACCCGGAAAATCATGGAATAAATTTTTATAATACAATTCTATAAAGTTTCAATGAAGAAAAAAATCATCAAGAAGGTAGAGATACTAGCATTTGTCTTATACAAGGAATTCTACGATGAGAATAACTTCCATTAATCGATTGGTATGACTAGCATAAGGTATAAGGATACCCCTCAGTTAAGTGGCAAAATCTTTAACAGAAATTGCATTTGGAGATTTAAAGCAAAGTGTAGAAGTTTACAGATAAATATAGGAAAATACACAATTTTTTAAATTTTTTATTTTTCTCAGGAAAAATTCTACTTTAAAACATTCAGTAGTTTAAAAATCGCGGCCAAATTTCCGACACATTAGCTTTATCAAAATATAATAAAACATACTAAAATAATTGTGGATTCACACAAAAGAGTCAACATGATTTTTTTGTGGGTGTGTGGAGCTTCGAAGTTTTCATGCATTCAGGTAATTTTTTGTTCAAAAACATACTTATCAGACAATTTCAGAATTTCACAAAATGGATACAACTACAGTATTTTTCGAAATGCAGTTACCGAACTAGTTTAGTCTACATTGAATCTTCAACGCGTACAATCTTGATTGAATCGAAATCATTCATGAAAAAATGCTGGTCAAACTTTTCATAATTGTGCTGCATTCATCTAATTGTACCGTTTTCTAGCTTGATTACTAGCTATAAAAACTCATTCGAGTAATTTACTACCAATTTGAACCTCTCTTTTTCCATAATTTTGCAAAGTTTTTGTTTTGCTTATTTTTTACTGTTTTATTTAGAGATTACTTTCGTCCGGAATTACTGTGCTATATTATTATTGTTTTCCCTTGATAATATTATTGTTTTCCCTTGCCAACAGTTGAAATGGTAGTGGGCTAATTGTAACAAGATTGAAAACTCAAAACTGTTGAAAACTCTTTTGAAAACTCAAAACTGTTGCACAAAAATTCTGTTAGGAAAACTCTCTTCAAACTGTATCGATTGTCCCAATTTTTTGCAACTCTCTATAACCAAGCATAACGTTCAAAAATGACCTTCACAAATACAAACTAGGTCAAATATTACATATAATTTTATTGAAGCCATGATTAAGCCCTGAGCCGATTGGTTCTGGCTGAAAGTGTTTTCGTGGCGTTTGACTCAGAATAAACTTCCCCCGTGGACCCAGGGAAACTTGTAACACTAAAGGCCCAGCTAAAACTGTTTGATCAATTTTGATTTTAATGTACTCATGCGGGATGAAATGGGTAATCTCAAAAATTTAAAATTTGGGCTTCACCCAAAACCCTATTTTGCTCTATTGAAATATGAGTGAAATTTTGTGATTTCAGTCAGGGGCGGATCTAGGATTCTCTCGATTGGGGGGGGGGGGGGGTTGGGGGGGGGCGGATTTTCAAAAAACTTTTAAAAATTTTGTCACGTTTTATTTTAGGTTGACCAAATTGATTTTTCGAGCATTAAAAAGACACTGTTTCGGCCAAATTATCTGCGCCGCAGGCAAAAGTTTAAAAGAAAACAGGCCAAAAAAGGCGTTGATAGGCACTTTTTGGAAAAATTTGACCAAAAAGTCGCGTTTTTTTGGGCGCGCGCTCCCTTCTCAAAGTTAGTATATATTGGCGCCAAAGGCGTCTTTAGAAAAATTTTGGGGTCCATCACCAAAAATGAATATTGAAAATAGTAAAAAGGGGGACCCTTTGGGTCGGCAGGGGGTCGAATCCCTGAAAGAGTGGGCATCCGCCTCCCCCCCCCCCCCCCCCCCACCCCTAAAGCCGCCCCTGATTTTAGAGTTTTCCCAGAGATTTAGTTTGTGTTGAATAAGTTTTAGGGCGTAGCATCTTAAACGTGGAGGTTTCCCACAACCTATAAACACCTTGATATCAGATTGAGTTGGTTTGTAGAAGAGTCAAAAAATTTCAAAAAACGGACAAGAAATCAAAACATTGAATTTTCTGAAGGCCATAGCTTTTTTGTAAGAAAGTTTGAACCTAAGCGCTTACACAGGGAAGCTTTGCACAACCCTTTCTTTGGATTGAACTCAAAATCTAAGAATTGGAATGGTTGTTTTCGAGACAAGTTAAAACAGTCAAAAAACCAAGAAATTAACAATTCCGAGAATAACTTTTGGTGTTAAATTTTTTAGGTGTCGCCCATTATTCAGAAGAAATTTAAATCACCTGTCTATTCGTATGAACGCAAAAACTCAAGATTTGGGAAGGTAGTCTCGGTTTTTGAGTAGAGTCAAAAAATTTCAAAAAATGGTTAAAAAAATCTAAAATTTGACTCCCATTTTGATAGGGCCTTACGTTTTTTGTTATTCAACTAACTTTCCAAATTTGGTTCTATCTATTGAAGTCAAATTCTCATATTCGGGAGGGACTTCCTACATACCGGTCTATCAATTGAATTCATAATGTCAGATTTCGGTAGGTAGTTTTCGAGAAAATGTAAAAATTCCAAAAATATATGGGTCAAAACTCCCCCACACATTTTTGTAGAAATTGGGGTAAGGTTAAAAGAGACTAAGGAATTATGCTTGCACATAAAATAGGTAAAGGGCGGACTTCCATTGATACCACTTTTTTAAAAACTACTTATTCTACGGTATAAACTACGGTAAAAACTACGGTATAGTATTTTTTGAGAAAGTATTTTTTGAAAAAAATAAAAAAAATAAAAAACTCGATCCCATACATTTTCACAATACCTGTTTTTATCAAAGAGAAATTGTAAAATGTAATCGTACTCACAAAGATGGTTGTGCTTTCGTTCTGTTTCATCTTCAATTGACTCATCTGCAAAAATGCTGTCGAGCAACACGACTATGTCTGCATCTGCAAATGCCTCCGAACGACTGGAGACAAACTTACTTTCCCGACACAAACCAGAAGCTAAAACAAGCGTTGTAGTGTTTTTCTCTCTCGACTGAGTAGCTTTTGCTTTTTTGTGGAATTGTGGAATCTGAGAAATTTTTGAATAATCAAGGAAACCAAGAACAAAGGTTTCAGATCATATCATTTTGTTTTAGCGTGTGTTGTGACAAACCTGGATAGAAGTGAAAAACTTTTAGGACAAATCATTTAACTTTTCAAAAGCTTTTATGAGCATTTTTGAATCTTGATTTATACACTCTATAGTAGTAATCATAGATTTCTGAGTGAGTATGAAGAAAATGGAAATGCTTCGAATAAAAAATAAATCACCTATATCCTCCAGTTCCATAATTACTCCATCGCCCATAGACTTCTTTTCTTCAGAGTCCATAACCCGAAGAGCCACATCCTGCTCTTTTCCAAAAGTGGATCCATTAATCAGGTGGGGGTATAAACAAGTAGCAATGGGGGATGTGCCCTCTGTTATTGTGCAGATGAGGGGTTTGATTTGGGCTCTTCTCTCCGCCTCTTCTTTCAGCTCTGTCTGTTTGTACTGCAGATTCTCCTCGGCTGTTTTGACGACGTCGCTAGTGCCGAGGTCCAGTCGCAGACCGTAAGTTTGATACACATACTCCTGCAGCAGAAATGCTAATCACTACTACAGACAACTATTAGTCAATATTTAATCTTTTGGCTCGTTCAGAAAACTATACCCCTTTTTGAATTACAAAATCTCATTTTGATGAGTCATAACGTTTTTTGTAATTCAGTTGGTGGGGGTATATTGGAAAAGGCCGAAAGTTGTATACTCGCATCCAGCTTCAAGCGTTTATAATCAATTACAAAAAGATTTTTGTACCAGTCTTACAAAAAATGAGAAAAATTGATTTTAATCAATTAATAGTCAATTATAATCTCTTGAAATCAAAAATGATCAATTATAATACCTTTTAATCGATTATAATCGACTATTTTATTCCAAATTTCTCATTTATTTCTTTTGCATGTTAATCGAGTTTAATTGTTTATAATTCCTTTTGTTTGCCTATTTTGTCTTCGACCTTCCACCTGAAATGCTTATATTTTATGCTTTTCTTAGGCGTTCTCGATTATATTTGTTTCTTGATGCACATTTTAAGTTGTTTTGACCACCAAAAAATCAGCACACTGCTTAAGTTTCATGATTTATTTAGAAGAGTTGTATTTCACCTACCGCGGGATTCGTTCAATTAGTATGAAGGGATATCTATGAAGCTTTTGTTTCGTGGTAAAATTTTTTGTTTAAAAGAACCAAGGAGTGAAATGACATCTTACTTATGAAGATTTTTAACAGAAAAAAAGGATTATATTCTATTATAATATATTATAAATTATTATAAGAGGTTTTAAAAGAATTAAGGAGATTTTCAGAAAATTATAATCAATTATAATTGATTATGATTTATTATAATGTTACGAAAAATGTTATCATTATAATGGATTATGACTCGATTAAACATCTAAATTTGGAGCATATAATTAATTAATTTCAATAAAAGTACAATTATAATTGTAATATAATCGATTATTTTCTCTTTTTACTGAGTGCGAGCACTTCGATCAAGCCTAACTGAATGGAATAAAAAATGCTCATAGCGGCACAAAAACAGCACAAAAATAAACCTAGAAATTGTGATAGCCAACAAACTAGAAAATTTTTTAAGTCAGCAAACGCTCTAAACTTATGATTGTGACATTAGCGTTAACTTTTTTGAGCTTTTCTGCTATTTTTTTTGTTTTGAGGAGCTTTCAGTTTTTTTTATCGAAATATTAGCCAGAGATCGCAAGAATAGATTTATCGTTTTGTTATTCAAATCCATAAATCTAATTACTTTGATATTCATGAGATGAATTGATGCTCGGAGTGATTTTTTGAAACTAATTAATTTTTTCTCTAACTACATTTTTTGTCAAAACTTTTTTTTAACAAAATATTATCTGAGAGCTGCAGATAATCTCATTTCAAGATTTATAAAATCTTTTGTAATGAACTGAGGCAAGCTATTGGGCTACTTGGTACTGCAATAGATGCAACTTGCATCCCTTTGTTCATAACATATCCTGTAAGCAGAAAATTTTTTTAAAAAAAATCATTTTTTTGCTTCGTATATGAGAGATTTTGATTCTTTTTAAACTAAAAACTAATTCGGAGACGTTACAAGGCAGTCGGAAAACTCATGATTTTATCCTGATAGGAGCAGTTTTGTTTCTTTTGGAAACGGGTAAACGCAACTCAGTGCTTATCTTATTTAGGAAAAGTAGTACCTTTGAGTAGCTTCAAACTTTCGGAGGAACAATTTTGTTCAAATGAATTTTTGAATGCATAGTCGTTCAGGGATGTCGAGACACTCAAATTTTCGCTCTAAAACTAGTAGTTTTGAGTCAATCGTTACAAAAGAAATAGGTAAAAAAAACTTTGGTGTAGAATTGAATGGGTAAAAAAGGTAGGGTAAATTACTAAAAACGTTTAACGCCATGTAACTAGATCACACGATAAAATGCATCTTTGATAAGTTTTCACTTCGTATTGACGTGTTTCTGGAGGATTTTTAGCACAGTTTTAAAAATCGAGAAATAGTTTTAAGCAAAAATCAAAGGTGAACCGCAAAAGAACCAGATTCCCAAAAAGCAGAGGTTTTTCTCCAAACAATTTCTGTAAAGATTTAGAGAGTATCTTTTTTGGTAATAACGCTCAAAATTTTTTTGCTCTTTTTTATCTCATCGCAATAGACAAAATCCGTTTAGAGGTGCTTACATTATGTTAGGACTCTAGTTGGACTCTGTTTGGACAATAATTTGGAATATTTTGACTATATTGACTGAGTTTAGATATGCTTCGTGTCTGTACAAGAACCAAACCACCATCTCCACAATGGATTTCTCTCAAACACAGGTACTACGCTCGAAATTGAAACCCAATTTTAAAGGACATTTTCCCTCCCTTGTCTTACCTCGAAGTCGTTTGATCCTCCCAGCAGCATTCCCTTGCCTCCTCTGTCAATCAACTCCCTCCACACAAGAGGGGAGGAGCCATCGTGCTTGTCTGTCCACCCGTGCTGCTCCTTAGTCCTCAACACCCAATCCTGCACAAAAACAAACCTGATAAATATTTTTCAATCTTTTGATCACCTAGAATTTCCGCCAACCAATTTTTTGTTCATTAGAATTGTCTGATAGCGACTATTTTGTTATGTGAAATAACAACACAATAAGAGTGAATTTGCAAGATGAACGGCCGTATAAAGATCCCAATCAACCTGATAAGCCCGTACTCCTGTTACGTCGCAAAACATCGGTTGAAATAATTTCTGCACTGTTAAATTTCTCCATTTGCTTTCGTCATCCCTTTTTTGATAAAAACCTCTCAATTTTCCTAAAAGTACGTTTGGTGCCAAGACCTTTCCTATTTAAGAGACCAGTGAACTTCAAAAATGTTATTTTGGCTCTTTTTCCTTTTCCCCCCCACCTCGTATGAGCATCAATTTTATGATGTAATGAGTGGTTTTACAAGGTTAATTATGAAGACCAAATATGCTTGTCGTGGCCCGGTTAGTCCGCATGCCAATTTTCTTGTTAATCGGTTCGTGGGAACAGTAATTTTACTTGTAAAAATTGCAGGTGGGGGGGGGGAAGGAAAATGAGCCGTTATTTTTGTCTACATTTTCTCAAAAAAACCCATAAACCCTTTTTAATAAGTTGATAAAATTGGAACCAGTTTAAAACTAGTTGATTTTTAAAATATTTTATTTCCCTGTTAAGTTTTTATTACTAACAAATCTTGATCCATGACTAAGTCGTACCGTATCTTTGTAAAATTGAAAAGCTAGTGGTTCAGAGAATTTTTAATAAAGATTGAAATCAGTTGCTTTCTTCTCTCCTCTAACTTCGCAGAAAACCAGTATATCCCTAGATCTAGTGAGACTGAGAAATATAAGAGTAAGAACAGGATTGGTATAAGCATAAGGAGTTACACGAACCTAATCCGGCCTAAATTAGATATCGTGACAAACAGACAGTGTACCCTATCCGAAACTACTATATGAGAAGGCCACCCCGGACCTAAACTCAAAAAGTTCCTTGAATTAATTTGATGATTTTAACCTGTAAACTATCTAAAATAAGACGTTGAAAGCCATCTAATAATCATTCCTAATAAAGTATTTTGCTTTTGCTTACAGCGCAATTTAACTTCTGTACAACACCTTGTTTCATTCTTGATAACCATCAAAGCAAGGTTTCAACTTTTTCACGACCCAGCTGATATTTTGTAAAAAGTGGAGTAATATCAACATATGTTTCCGACCACGGTCGAAAAAATTTTTGACAAAAAATAAGGGCTCTTTTCCAGCTCCCCCCTTTCAAATTCAATTTTGAAGAGCTTATTTAACATTGTCATATTGCAATGAATTTTGGCGTGGTGAACAAATCGACAATTGTGAACAAATTTGTTCTGCATACTTTACAGCGTTTCATCAAGCATTTAGCCGTAATAACACGTAAAACAAACATAAAACTCGGTATTTTGAAAAGGGGATGACTGAAAAAGAGCCAAAATAAGACATTTTTAGTGATTAGCAACATAGGACAAAAATCGTCATGATTTGGGCAAAACGTTGCCAGCTTGTCATTATTTTGACAAAATAAGACTTTATAGTCTATAACAGCAAAAGTTTAACAAAGTTGTCAGATTTTATTTGAAAAACCATCAACATCTCGAGAACATCCTATAGATACTCCCTGTAAGAGTTCTTGTGACAATGTTGCAATAATTTTATTCCAAGAACACTAGGAAAAGAATGGTTAATTACCTGCCAACTTTCTGGATGGACGCTAACTTTGTGGGCTGAAAAGTGTGGTAAATTAATTTGGAGATCATCTGCAAGTAACTCTGCTTTGGCGAAATAGGGACAGTCGGATTTGCCCGCGATCACTATCTTGGTCATTTTAATCAATCGAAAATGAATCTTCAATGATGATCTTAATCTAAAATCTTTTCAAATTAATCAACAAATGCAGTGGTAGAAATTTAAAACATATACTTTAGTGTATTTTGATTGTAAGCTGATATTAAAAGACTGATAAATTTGTACATGCATGAAAATTTTCGTTTTTTCTTGCAGATATGATCAACAGACGCACGTGCATTTTATGTTTTGCGCTTTAATTCAAAATTGCATGTAAAAACGGCTGGAAAACAATTTATGTTCTGACTCCTCCCTGTAATATCCCCCCCAGCCTTTGTAATGAAAAAATGAAAGTCTCACTTCCCACTAAAATATGTAACTTTTCTGTATTATGTGTGTCAAAATTGGAAAGAACCGCTGTATGTTTGAAACTATTCTCAAGTATTTGACGAAATTGAAACACATCATGTGTCGGCTCTTTTTCCTTCCCCCCCCCCCCCCCCACCTCACTAAAACATGAATTTTTTGGTCTAACGAGTGGTTTTACAAGGTTAATTATGAAGATCAAATATGTTTGTCATGGCCTAAGTAGTCTGCATGTCAATTTTCATGACAATCGGACAAAGTGGACACAAACTTCAAATATAAACATTTGCAGGTGGGGGGGGGGGGGGGGAAGGAAAAAGAGCCCATGTGTCTATAAAACTCAAAGATAAAGTTCACTGCATGATTCTATATCAAGAACTCGCTCTTTTCACTATTCAGAAGTCTTCCTGTAGGCTGTTCTACTGTCCTCCTCTCCTCCTAGCTCTAGCTCTACCAATCAATTTTATCGTGAGTTGTATATGAGGCTCAGTCGCAGTTGTCGATTTATTTTTCGAGCTACTCGAACAAAAGTTAGAAAGTTTCGACCGTCCTGACCCAGGCTCGATATGCTTTCATTGTGTCGACTCAAATCATCAGTTTATCGGCTATCTTCGTCGGAGAAAAACATTTCGGCGGTGTTCTATCGAGGAAACATATTTTGAATATGTCCGACTAGGCAAAATCATTACGATTGTGTTCTGTCCAGGAAAACAATTTCACCATGTTTGATCGAGGAAACAAATCAACCTATCTCAACAAAGAGGAATCGATTCCACCGCTTCCGAAGAAAGATTTGTTTTGACCGTTTTCAACCGAGGAGAAAACGCTTCAAACAAGTTCGACAAAAGAAGTCTTGTCTAAAACATAGTTCGCAGAAAAAATTTGTATGCGCATTAAAAAAATTCATTTTTTGCTATTATGATCTACAGACGCATGTGTATTTTTTAGTTTGCGCTTTTGTTCATAATGGCATGCAAAAAAACGGTTGAAAACAAATCGTTTTCTGAATTGTTCATACAAGATAGCCCCAGTTTTCGTTAAAAAAAATAGTCCTAAAACGTAATATTTTTCTAATTTTTTTGTCGAAACTGGAAAAAAAACCGCAATACAAATTTGAGTAAAAAGATTTTTAAACGATGGACAACATTGAACTTATCAAGTATATAAATGAAACTAAAAGGTATAGTGCGCTCCATGATTCTATATTAAGCGCCGACAGTATTCCTCAAGCAGTCGCTCTTTTGACTACTCATAAAGTCTTCCTGTTCACAGTTTTGACAAAAAAGAATATATTCCATCGTTTTTGAACAAAAAATCATGATTCGACCGTGTTCAACCAAGGAGAAAGCGCTTCAAACGAGTTCGACAGATGGATATTTTCTAACAAAGGGTTTCAATTTGTTCAGTTTCTTTCATGTTATCCATTGTATTGAAAATTGTAGTTTGAGTCAATTACACACTTATGCCCAACTGGACACAACTAAGCGTTCACCTTGAGAGCGTCAGATCGTGTAACAGATACCCTGCCACGGCCATGATACTGTGCAAAGAAGAGCTCCCATTTAACCTCTAGCTTTAAATCTATCACAGCTTGGCCGACTTAGGCTGCAATAGTAACAACTTGAAGGAGGGGTCGGTCAACCAAAAAACTCGAACATTAACAACAAATAATCAAACACAGCACTCAAAGTGAAAAAAAAATTCAGCGTGTGCCGAAAGGAACATCCGGTTTGTCAAAAGTAATATATACAATCACTGGGACAAATCTGATTTTAGCCCGTTGCGGAACCCGCTTACAATGCAAAGAATGCGTCGTTTTGGCCCCAAATTTTTATTGAAATCTTAGCCAGAGATTGTGAGATAACCTTTATTGTTCTGTTTTTCAGAATAATGAATCTATACAAAATGATATTCATGTGATGAAATGATGCTCGATGTGTTTTTTCAGACAATTTTTTTTTGCTTTTATCTGAAAAATAATAGCGAAAAAGCAGAAAAATTACCTGTAACCCGAAAACTAAAATGAATCAAATGTTTTTGGTTTTTTCTTGAACGACTTTCATAATTTTTAAAATTAAAAACTGATTCACAACCTGTTTTTGCTGTTTCTTACCTCATGGCAATAATTAAAAACCGAGGAGAGAGGTGTTTACATCATGCGTGGACTCTCTTGACCTTAATTTGGATAATTCTGACTATATCGACCCATTTCAGTATGTTTTATGTCTGCAATAGACCCAAATCGCCGTCTCGAACAATGGATTTTTTTCGAATTGGATTTTTTTCGATACCGCATCATTAGCACCATCATCCACATCCACCGAATCATCAAATAGCACTAATAGAGCTTATCGCACTTTCAAAAGAAAATTCCCAAATCATCCATTTCCAACAAAACCAGGAACAGCCCGTGAATATATTAATCATCCAAATCACACTAACACGAAAGATTTTTTAGCAATCACCTTACCTTCATTTCCACAGTATACTTTGAACACCCCTAACGACACTAACGACACACGTAGTTTTGTAGATGAACAAGTTTTAATGCCTACACTTCATTGGACATCATATTATCATTTTACTAACCCCCTTTGCCTACCTTTATCTAATACTCACATCGATATAGAAAGAAATCAAAATATGCTATATCGACTCACCACACCACTAACACATAGACAATTTACTTATATAGGATATAAAAAGTCATTAAAAACATACCCTGCACCCCGAGCTAACGAATATACGCTAGAATATTACGATCACAACATCATCCGAGCTAACCAAGACCAATTTTTAGATGATGATCGTTTCGCTAACCCACAAATCACAGAAAAATTCTTCATCAAAACACCATATGTATTTACACTCAATATATTTGATCGCAAATTCGACCACGTCATTTCTGAAGCACTAACCGACATGCAAGCTTACGAAAGTTTTAAAGAAAGATTTCAATTATTTTCACTAACCTTCAATTTCCTTGCACCACAAGAACGCAATTTGCACTGCTCACACGACATTATGTTACGCACTAAACAAACCATTTTGATCTACACACTCCATCAAGACAACCACACCACCGTTTTCAATTTATTAACTCTAAATACACTTCACCATTTTTTCTTAACTTCACATATTGCATCAAAGATACTAACCTTCACGGTATTCTTCGCAATTATGATCCCATAACCCAAATGTATATTTTTTGTCCAATCACGAAGACCTTCAACGCAGAAGAATCCAGACCCTTCCTTATCCCACATGAATTTATTCAACCTATAGAAATTCCGATATTAGAATTCATCCACAACACTAAATACAATCACAAAATATATAATCTCATCCAAAACACACCTTATGAGTTTGCAGTTGGCACTGAAGAACTAAAAACTATTAAAGCACTTCAATTGCTTTGGCCACTGCTTCAAACTAAAAACATCATTCGCATACTAGCAAAATTACTAACAAATTCCGACATAATACACGACATCTTCCCCCACGGTTTTTTCCCCGGCGACTAACAGGTAAGTATAATTTATACATATTTTTCACTAATAAATTTGAAATAAATACTAACCATTCTTTATCTATGTCTTATTTAGATTTTTAGTCTTCATCCCACGATCATCTGCAAATTACACAAAAGAAAAATAAAAAATAGAAAACTTCTTCAAATTCTTCAAAACTCTATTAATATTTTGCACTAGATAAATTCAATAAAAATCATACCAATGTAGTAAATTAATTTATAATTTATTTCCCTAAAAGCAGTAATTCTAATAATGATGAAAATTTGTAACTTAATTTTTCCCCAAAAAACTAGCAGTAAAATTGAAATTCTATGTAGTAAATTGATAAGACGAAAATGCAGTACTAACCTTTTGATATTTCCATTCACTCGCACAAAAATCCTATCCAAACTCGCACAGCTCGCCCACGAAGAATTGTTTAAATAATGAATTTCAGTTTCAAGCTTTCACACTCAACAACTCTAACACACGATAACACGTTTCAAACTTTCCTTTAACCCGGTTGGAAAGGAATTATATACTAAACAAAACTAACCAATGCAGCTTACTAAACACCACAAATCATAGAATAACAGCATGACTAAGGAAAGGAAACCAACGGTACCCAAACCGGATTAACCCAGTTTAAAACTGGATAATTTATTCTTTTGAAGACTATTATAAAGTCTAAGAAAGAAATAACAAAACACAAAAAAGTCGAAAGACAAACCCATACCAAAAACAATTTGATTTTTGAAAAAAGGACACAACCAACGAAACATAAGAAAAACCACAATAAACCCAATATAAAACGTTATCACATAACAGGACCTCTCACAGAAACCGCACGAAATCATACTCCCACTCCTGGCCTAACCCACCAGAGAGGACGTCCTCAGCATGCTCTATAGCCGGCCTAACCCACCGCGCTACATCCACGCTTTGTGACCACACTTCTATTTTTAATAAGAGGTACTCAAGGCTGAGTAACTCTTCAAAATAACCGAACTAAAACAAAAAGCTTTTGTGAAAACAACTAACCAAAATCATAATTAAAACACCGAACTAATAAAAATTTTATAAAATGTAAATTATACCTTGCAGTATATAGATCAGCATACAACACCAAAGACGAACATCCAAAGACAAAAATGACCCCACTACACTCGAAAAAGAATGGCCAACCACAACCGATATGCCGTTGGATCAAAGGATTTAGAGTACGACTTGACTTCGCAGAAAAGGACTTCATTGAACTAGACCAATGACCACCTCGATGTTCAAGTATACGTACAGATCCGAGTAACTAGGCATCCCCTCCACGCACAATCTCCACGCCATTCCCAGACGAGGTTGAA